AGTGGAGTTTAGGTGAGAGTCTGATTGGTTAATCATGAGTATGATTACAGACTGAATTCGACCATGAAGTCCTGCTACCGTTGTATCATTACAATTTCTGCAAAAAACAAATACATTTATTTGAGAAAATATCTCTGATATACAGACAATTTCTAGACTGCTAGCATTGAGCCTGGCTGAGGTACTAAAAAATAATGACTGAACATGTTGGGGCATGGCTCAGCTGGTAGTAATGCCCAACTAGTATCTGGCTGGCACAGGTTTGAGGCTAACTGAAGATTGGTAATAAACCCATTGATCCCTAAGAGTGATAAGCATCTAATTTTTCCTTACAACATCACACCTGAACCACACATTAAGGTCACGAGAATAAAGGAAATGATTACCAAATAAAGATCCTCTGGATTGTTCAATAAATTCTCCTTGTCATCAGCTTATGAAATGTATAAAGAACAGTATGGAGAATATACAAACTGACGTTAGGGTGTAAAGGGTTAATAAATAGTTGACGACTCATGTCAACCAGTTTTTCAGAATATAAATAGCAAATGTTTAATTACTTGAAATTGATTTGATAATTATTCCCAATTCAAACAAACTTTAGCCATTGGTTAGGAAAACCACATTCTAAGCCATCTTTACTTAGCCGAACCTTTTATCTGAACTTTAACATTAATTTTGTGAACAGTGCCAGTAAGGCCAAAAGCTAACAGTGAGGGATATTGAACTCTCTTATAGAGAATCCCTGAGGCTCTCTGCTTTTGTAAAACTGTAGTTTGGGTGAGACCTTGTGTAAATAACCTGCCCTGCATCGTTGTTTCAAAGGCATTAAAAATAGAGATGTTTTCACTCTAAGTATAATTACTACAAAGAACAACTTTAAAATGTTCCAGACAAAACCAGTTTTCAAGGTAATTTTGATATTAGTTTCTGATTATACAATATTTTCTAAATTATCATAACAGGTTTCTTGAATGTGTGAAAAAGAAAACAGCAAAAAATTTACATTTTCTCTCAGAGATCCTGCTCTCAGAATCCTTAGTAAAACCCTAATCAATCAAGGTAATACTCAAGTTGAAAACTGAAAAAAACCTTTAAAACCACAGCATGACTATGCACTT